GAGAGAGAGAGAAGAGGACTTACCTGCCCAGCGCCATAGCTGGCTCCGCGGTACCTGCAAGTTCAGCCATCGCCAGGTAAGTGCAGAAAGCACCAAGCTTTCTTCTTCTTCTTCTTCTTCTTCTTCTTCTTCTTCTTCTTCTTCTTCTTCTTCTTCTCCTCTTCTCCTCCTACTCCTCCGAAGTTCTTCTTCTTCTTCTTCTTCTCCTTCTTCTTCTTCTTCTTCTTCTTCTTCTTCTTCTTCTTCTTCTTCTCAGAGTAGAGATAGAGGTAACTGCAGACATTGTTTGGACACGGCATTCTGCCCTATTGGACACGACATTTAGGTCGGACTTGCACTCTACATTGGGATTGAACTGTGTGAGACATTCGGAGATCAGACTTGGGTTGAACTTGGTTACCTCCGTCCCTCCCCCTTCTCTCTCGCATGTCTATGGATCTCTCCCCATGTGTGTGAGCGGAAAGGCAATCTTTCTGATGTCTTGCCCTTCCGAAGTTTTCTCCTTTTCATGTTGTTGTCCACGTGTCCTTTGATACTAAATCTTCCGCTGCGCTGCTTCCCGGCCCATGATGATAATGATACGAATGTGTGTTGTTGATTTCTCGTTGGTTCACCCTTTGCACCGTGCACATTGACATCTCGTGGATGTTGCACCTATGCTTCTGGTTGTTGCCACTTTCGTCATTGCTAGATCCTAGGCTCTCAGTGCATTTCACTTTCTGATATGCTACACATAAGCTGGAAAGAACAAAAAGTTCAAAAAACAATTCCATGGACTGTACATATTCAGCCTCCTGATGAGCCCGTGAAACTCGGACACAACAGTCCGTCACACCCCCTCGTTTGTTGTCCTCTCTTCTCCCTCTCTGTCTACGGTTTAGAGAGCAGGTCTGTTTGACGATATATGTGACTGCATACAGATTTAAATAAGTAAAAAATATATTTTACACTCACCCACCTCCACTCCGGCGTGTCGGCAAACTGACTCGCTTCGACCAAGTCCGTGACTAGATGCAGGAACTTGGCACGAGCTTCGTAAGTTCCCTGTCCCTGCACAGATCGGAGATCACTCCGGATTAGCAGACCGACATTCTCTCACGATTCACATAAAAATAAAAATTATATCGTTTTCTGAGCTTTTCTCAGCTTTTCTGAAGGAGAGAGAAAGAAAGAACCCTTGTCTTCAAACCTTTTTCTTTCCAAGTGAATTAAGCCACCATTGCCCACCAACCCTTGTCTATAAAACAATCCGGCACAAGATAGGGCGTGTATCCTTTCCATTTACACTCGAAGTGGTGTTAGACAGGAACAGAGAAAAAAAAAAAAGCACAGGAACACAGACAGAACCTAGGCTACCAGCCGGGCCGCCCGGGTCACCATGTTTGCCCGGGGTGTCCGGCCATGCAAGGACCAAAGTTACCCAGCGCGAAAAATTAAAAAAAAAAAAAAAAAAAAAAAAAATCCAAAAAATCTTGAAACATAAAGTGCACAACTTTTGCCCCAGGGTCATATCGGAATTCCTTAACCAAATTTACAATTAAAAATTAAATTAAAATTTTAATTAAAAACTGGGCTACCAGCCAGGCCCCCCGGGTCACCTTGTTTGATTGGGCAACCCGGCTGTGAAAGGCAGAAGAAGAAAAAAAAATTTAAAAAATCGAAAAAATCCGAAAAAAATAAACTGAACAACTTTTGCCTCAGGGTTACATCGAAATTCTCTACCAAATTTAAGATAAATATAAACAATAAAAAATATATATATACTAGGCTACCAGCCGGGCCGCCCAGGTCCCGGGTGGCCAGCCCGTGCAAGGACCAGGGAAGGTCACAGCAAAAAAAAAAAAAAAAAAAAAAAAAAAAAAAAAGAACTATGTTATGCAGAAAAATAAACTGAACAACTTTTGCCTCAGGGTCGCATCGAAATTCCAAACCAAATTTAGAACAAACATTAAAATTATTATTTTATTTTTTTATTTTTTTTATTTTTTATTTTTTTTTGCCCGGCTGGGCAAGTGACCCCGGGCCACTCTGGTAGCCTAGTGTATATATTGTCACATGATATCAGAGCGCCAAAGCGAAAAACAGAAAGGAAACAAGAAAAACAAGAAAAACTGAATTCGTTTTTAATCTTCTTCCTTACAACTCCCCCTGTTCAGAACCTCTTGCGTACAAGGCCGCCCACGAGGATGTATATTGTCACATGAATACCAGAGCGCAAAGGCAAAAAAAACAGAGGAAAACAAGAAAAAATAAAAAATAATTCGTGTTTACATCTTCTCTTACAAATCCCCCTGTTCAGAACCTCTTGCGTACAATTATTTTTGGCCCGGCCGGGCAAGTTGCCCAGGGCAACTCTGGTAGCCGAGGACACAACTGATTACAAAAAAAAAAAAAAAAAAAAAAAAAAAGAACTGACAGAAAATAATGAATGAAATGAACCCATGCAGCACACCAACTGGCCTCGCTCAGTCGGTACAAACACCCCTGAACTGAACTGAACTGTGAAATACAGACTCAAGATTGAATCCAGATACCATTGGTCTGTACACTCTGTGTGCCATAACGGACCTGAGTCTGACCCTTGTTAACATGGGTCTGTCCCTTGTTAACATGGGTCTGACCCTTGTTAACATGGGTTCATGGGTCTGACCCTTGTTTGACTGTTTTTCCAGTTCTGTTTGCAAGTTTTGAGGTGTTAGTAATATGTTACCACACAGTGCACGCACCAACTGCCCTAGCTCAGTCGGTACACCCCTGAACTGAACGGAACTGAATGGAACTGAACTGTTGAAATACAGACCCACTGAGTTCGAACTCTGCCGGAAGCAGATTAAAAAAAAAAGAGCCCATGCAGTGCAGAAGGGTCCGACCCCCACAATTGAATTGCACGGGTCGTTTTCCAACAAACCTTATGCAACCTACAATCCTGGCAAGTTATTTTTTCCTTGCGCTCTGTGATCTTGTAGCTCTCAAATTCTCAATCTTTTTTCTTTTCACAAAGTGCAAACCTGTAGCACCTCATAGGTTGGGGACAGAATGACTCTTCAAGGAAGGTAAAAAACAAATTGTATCATTCATTATTGTTCAGTTATTAATACAGTATTATCTTTTCATTTTCGTCTGAGTGTGGCGAGCCTTGTACGTGAGAGGCACAGTATAGGGGGAGGTTAACGAAGAAGTAATGAAAGAGAAACTGCGGGGGAAAAAAGAAGACGAAGGAGTCCTTTGGGACATCCGTTAAAATTGGAACAATACAGAGAGGATTAGCATGGCAGCCCCTGCACAAGGATGGCACGCTTAAATCGAGAAGAAATGGTCCAAATTGAAGAAGAAGAAGAAGAAGAAGAAGAAGAAGAAGAAGAAGAAGAAGAAGAAGAAGAAGAAGAAGAAGAAGCAAAGGAGGAGGGGGAGAAGAAGAAGAAGAAGAAGAAGAAGAAGAAGAAGAAGAAGAAGAAGGAAAGCCAAAGGAAGAAAAGAAAAAGAAAAAGCTGCCCAGCGAAAGGCAAAAGAACAGTTCCAGTGTGCTTGGTGTTGTATGCTATTTTCGTCGTTTGTTTTGCAAACTGCGCTCTTTTAGTTGATACATATATCTGTTTGAGGATATAGATATATATATATACTTATATCTCGTCAAACAGAACTGCCCAGTAAACCGTAGGCAGAGAGGGAGAAGAGGACAACAAACAAGGGGCTGTGACAAAGTGTTTCGTCAGAGTTTCACCGACTCATCGGTCGTCAAACAGAACTGCCCACTACACCATAGGCAGAGAGGGAGAAGACGGCAACAAACGAGGGGCTGTGACAAACTGTTCCGTTGCAGTTTCACCGACTCATCGGGATATATATCATCACAAACAGAACTGCCCGGTAAAACCGTAGGCAGAGAGAGAGAAGAGGACAACAAACGAGGGGCTGTGACAAACTGTTTCGTCGGAGTTTCACCGACTCATCAGGAGGCTGAACCCTCAACAGTCTGCAGAATCCCCTCACTGATTACACTGTACATGATATATATATATAGCTGTGTAGCAAACCGAACATGGTTGGAGCTGTTCCGAACGCCCGACCATGTTCGGGTGTTCGGCCGAACGCCTCCCGACCGTGTTCAGTTGAACATATTAAAAAAAAAATCTTTTTTTTTTTTAGGTTTTTCATTTTTAACTCGAGTTTGGTTACGAATTTGAGCATACGTCTCGGGCAAAAGTTGTTTGTATTATTATTTTAGTAAATAATTGACATAACATATATTTTTTTTCAGATTTTTCTGAGATTTTTTTTTTGTTTTGTTTTTTGTATTTTTATGTTCACGTTCGGAGGGTTTTGGCGCTCGTTCGGGTTCAGAGGGTTTTGGCGCTCGTTCGGGTTCGGAGGGCTTTGGCGCTCGTTCGCGTTTGGAGGGACAGTCCTCTGCACACATGGATACAGAAACCATGTCATTGTAGTGATTGAGACAGAGACGATGGCGGCTACAGCCGAGTGTAACAGCGTTTGTGGCTGTGCAAAGGAGAAGGTCGCAGAGTGTTGGTACATTGTCTTGCTGCAGCATGGGGCCAGAGGAATGATCTTGGACATAAAAGAGATTGCGGACGGTTTGTTGTGGCAAGAAAACAGCATCATTTTGTAAGAAATCAGTGACATCAGTCATGTTTTATATATATACGTATATATCGTCACAAACAGAACTGCCCGGTAAACCGTAGGCAGAGAGAGAGAAGAGGACAACAAACGAGGGGCTGTGACAAACTGTTTCGTCGGAGTTTCACCGACTCATCCGGAGGCCGAACCCTCAACAGTCTGCAGAATCCCCTCACTGATTACACTGTAAATGATAATCTACCTTAACCAAAATCAAAGTAGACTATCACTCACCCACACCAGATGGAAAACTCTACAGACTGTCAGTTCACACCCCATCACAAGCCAGCAAAACATCCACGAAACAAAGAAAGGTCCGTCACAGCCAAAAAATACACTCCAGACACGCCGCTGGCACTAGAGGCACAGCATGGCCGCCTAGCAACGGCCCCGACCACTGCCGCTCGACCTGACCGGATCATGGTCCATGCCATGATTGATATTACTGATTTCTTACTCTATGATGCTGTTCTCTTGCCACATCAAACTGTCCGCAACCTCCTTTATGTCGAAGATCATTCCTCTGGCACCGTAGTGCAGCAGTACA